TTGGAGTGGGAAAATGTAATTTTGGAGGGAAGTTCCGGGGGATTTTTTGGGCCTTGAATTACCCGGGGAAAGCCGGTAGTTTTTTTGGGCCTTGGAAAGGGGTTGAAAGGGGGGGGGGGTAATTTGGTTGGGAGGGTTGGTTTGGGGAAAACTTTTTGGACCCCCTTTTGGAAAATTGGAAGGAAAGGATGGCCCTTGGGGGTTGGTTCTTGGGGGGAAAATGTTCCTCCTTTTGGGGGAGGGGGGGCAAAGGTTTTACCCGTAAGGCCTTTAAAAACAAAAGGGTCCCCCCCCCCCCCCCCCCCCCCCATGAGCAGGGAGAACCCCCCATCACCCTGGAAAATCAAGCTGTGGTCGACAAAAGCGTTATTTTCATGAACAACGTTGCTGCTGTCCAAGAGTTAGCCGAACGAAACGAGGCTATGCGGGCGCAGGTCCGTGAAGTGGGAGGTACCGCTATGTAGGTTTGAGTCCTTTCGCGAGAATCGTCACACGATAGACACCCGAGGTACGCGACTTGAGGTTAGGTTTATAGTGCTCGCAGATAGTGTCGTGTTAGTATTTCATGGGTGGAAAATGCAATGTTCAAAGATAACAGCACCATACGTGCGACTTGTCGAGCGCTGCCGGCCAACGTCATGCTACGTACACCTACGCTCTGGCAACGCCGGTGGAGCTATCGGTAGCATCACTTGTTCTCAACACTATGCAGCCTCCGTTGGCGGCGGTCTAGTGGAAACACGTTATCGGCGCTTACCTTCAATCTATGCTACGGGGATAATTTTTCACCGCGGCAATTCGTGGCTAAGAATATACTGTTATCTGCGTCATGTTGTTTGTCTTTGGCAGCTGGAGGAGCAGTTGGCGTTTGATGCACGCATGCACATGGCGGTCGATGAAATGGGAATGAGACTAGCTGAAGAAGCAGACGCCCAGCTGCTCGAGCGTAAGAGGTAAGGGGCCTGCCGCACGGCGGGCAGATGGGACTTGGCTTTGGTGCATGTTGCAGGCAACCCAGCCGCTTCACCAATAGCCATTTTGGGAGCTGCGATGCTCAGAGCTCGCTATCTAGAACACCGTGGGTGAGCGACTCAACATTCGCAAGCATAAATGGGACGGTTCAAACCTTCTTCGCTGGGCATTGTTTGTCGCATTCGGCCCTTCACATTTAATTTTTTGTTTCGAAACTACACGTACTTCGCATGTTACCCTATCTCGCTCGAAGAATCGTGGAGGCCGAAGCAGAGGAGGCTCACCTGGCGGCAGAGCTAGAGGCTATCGAGGTGGAGGAGGCCCACAGACTAACGGAGCTGGAGGCTCTACAGCAGCGAGAAGCGCTGGAGCAACAACTTGAGATCGCTAGGCGAAAGGTTGCCGCCGAAAGCGAAAGCAAGAGAGTCGAAACGGAGAAAGCGCTCAAAATCCAGGTGTGACCGGGGTCGTAAACTATACCAAATTTTATGGTCGGAGGCTATAATCCTTGAGTGTGAATATATTCCGAGCCGGCCCAATGCCCATGCCAGGGTCAGTCAACCCCAGTAGTGCAGAGTCCCTCAAGGTTCTGCCATATCAGTGGAGGTGAACCATGTTATGCTCGTGGCGTTGCTGGCGTAGGCGGTTTCTGTGATGCACTTGCACCGCTGACTAACCAGCATAACTGTTGACACCGCACACAATTCATAGTTCAATGCTGACCCCCATGACGATTGAGTTGTTGTTGTTGTCTTCACATTAAAAACCGTTCCGTTCTCTCTGCCCAGTACCTTCTTCTGTCCGTACTAGTCCAATACTTGACGGGGTCCATTCCTGAGGTCACAGGCAAACTTACCCAAAAAAAGGTATACGAAAATAAAATGGACCCGAAGGGTCCGCAAGCCAATAGAAGTCAACGACAGATAGTCTAGGCCATTCCGCTCGTCTCTACATGCTATGCGGGGTAACCTAGACTGGAAAAAGAAAGAAAAACAAAAACAAAGAAGAGAGCAGACGGAGAGAAGGGAAAGGGAAAGAGAAAGACACAGGCAGAGAAAGACACACGTCGAGCGACAAACAACAAACAAACAAAGAGCAAAACAGTATTCAATGGTGAATCTCATGCCGTTACGCAGGAAGAGTCTACGCGAAGGAGGGAAGCTCTACGTTTGGAAACGGAGAGCCAGCTTAGGAAACGAAGAATGGACCTGGAACAAGAAATGGAGGCCCAAAAACGTCAGGTACTATTGAAGAAAATTGTGAAATGTCTCAAATTGAATCGAAAGTACGGCATACTGTACCCTTGAGTGTGGTGGGCCAACATCAGTGACGAACCGATAATGCGGAGTCGACGATGCGGGTTGAGTGCCTGGGATAACTCGGCCGCATTGTTCACCAATCGGGTCAACACCTACCTCCCATTACCCAACATTGAGGACAAGGGGTGGTCGGGAAACACGGAGATCCCGAATGTAGACTAGACTCACGTTGAACCAAATAAGAGGGACACAATACACAGGTTGAGACGAGTGAAGACAACATACAAGACAAGGATAAGGGCAGAAAATGAGTTACTCAATAGATGAGCGCCGATAATGGCTTTCGTTTTCGCTTGTCGCTTGACTGACGGCGTGAAATATCCTAAGCCATTTCGAAGCGCGTTTCAACCATTCCGTGAACTTGGGACGACAGATGGATATAGAGCGGGTACAGGCTGAGGTGGAAGCTAAGTTTGCAGCGGAACAACAGAACGAAGATGTGATGCTACGGAAGATACAAGCTCAGGTGATAAACACCAAAACGTATGCCTTTATTTTGGGTCTGGCAAAAGACACGTGGTGCCGCTGCCTGTTCCTCTTGAATCGTCGCCTTGCGTGCACCCTTCTCGGAAGAAACCCTGTCGATTCCAATGGATTCGGTAACATGCGAACTGAAGTGACATCAAGCCTTCCGTCGGAATCTCTGGTGAGGCACCAAAGATAGTCTTGCGGTCTGGAATTCTTCCGGAATTATTTTCGGTCCATGATGACGTCACCGTTGATTTCAAGGACGCATGTTGCAACACATGGAACCGCCGATGCCTGGATTTTGGCTTAATATTGCTAACTATGTGGCAGTGCTTTACGATACTGCTGCCGTCTTCATTTGTTTGCTTTCGGCATTATTCCGGTGGTTCCAGTTTAGGCAATCTCGACCGTCACCCTTCCACCATCAAGACCATAGTCCTGGTCCTGGTGTGGGTAGGCAGTTCGAAACACAACCGTGGTACGCTAAGAGAAAACGTACACATTGCATACCTACGACGAACAAAAACACCGTAATATGGCCCGGTGCCTAACGATAGTAACGCATGTTGAACCGCGCACACGCAGGGTGAAGAGGACCGCAGGCGGACCCAAGAGGCCATCAACACAGTCCTCGCGCACCTCGCATCTGCCGTCTACGGGCTCGTGTCCGACCCTAGGTGGGCGAAGAAGCCATGGACGCTAGAAGCAAGCATGCGGCGGACGGGGTGCTGCTTTGCCTCAACCACAATCATTGAGAGTCACCGTTCTCAGACAGAGACCGTACGGAGGAAGAATATACTTCGTAGTTTTTGTGTGACGTCTTGGGGTACACTTGGTGCCGACCATACATTTTCCACATCTCGCCTACATCTTATTTGACAATTTGGATTTCTATCTCCTGCCAGACGAGCGTTAACGCTGACCTCGTGGCTACTCGGTCTATTGGCCGGGTATATGGTGCTGAAGGAGGGTACTCTTCTCCTCAGACAGGTGCGTTGGCGTGACCGGCAAGTGCTGTCAACCGCAATGTCGCATGAGCGAAGGATCGATGACAGCCAATTTTTACATGCTCCCCTGCCGGTATCCCCTTGAGCTGACAGCCCCTTCGGGGGTTTGGCCATGTGAAATATCGAGAGTCAACAATGTTCACGAGTTGTCGAGATTCCTAACACTGAAGATAAGAGTGAACAAACCCAAGTAGCTTCAGCTATTCTTCCGCGAGCGCGCAGTGTTTTGAGATGTTTCTAGGTCTTAGACCATTCGAAATGTCACCGTGACTTCGGGGGTAGGAGGGAGGGTTGATATAGTTTTGACAACACTGCATGCGGTGCCGAGGGTAACAAGATATGCACCCCAATAACCTCTATTGCAACGTCTACAGCTCCTCGAAACCTACCTCGGGAAGCCCAGCTTGGTGCGAGAAACTTCTCGTGTGGGGACGCTGAGGTCGACCAACCACCGTCTTCTCCATGCAGCGAAATGTTTGGTTAGATTCATCTGTGAGAAGGCCGGCAAGGCTTCTCTTGAGGGAGAAGGCTGGTCACCAAAGAGAACGCGATCCGGGAGGGAGGAGGCTGTGAACGCTTTCCGAGACGTCGTACTTGCCCCGGATCTCAAGGAACAGGTGATCTGCTGGATGTGTCGTCGAAAGTGCGAAATCCTGTTTGTCCTGGAACATCCCTGCGAGACTCGATATGTGATACTGGTGACAATGCTAGCATCTCGACGTATGATTCGGATGAAACATTAGGCTGGTGTGTCATTGAAGTGGCGTAGTCTACAAAATTAAATTCCTGTTTGGGCGAACCGTCTTTCTCGACCTTCGAGCGGTTGCACAACAGACCAAACGATTGCAGGCAGACTGTTCGCGCGAAAGATGATCTGACATGTTGCGAGCCTGCTGTGTGCGTAACCGACTCATTCCAACCTGCATGGTCGGGGACCTCTGGTACCTGATGATGAGTACCAGTTAAAACTCGCTGATAAACAAAATCTCATGAAACAGGTGCTTTCTCTGGCGGTGGCGACGAGAAATTCCAAGAGGAACGGCGCTCCCTACCGACACCTCCTGTTGTACGGTCCTCCCGGCACTGGAAAAACCATGGTTGCCAAGCGCCTGGTGAGCGAGCTCAGCAATCTGTCACGGTCCCTCGAGAACGGGCTGGATGCCGACCCTTGTTGTTGGAATCCCTCCAAGAGAGTGCTCCCTAGACTCTTTGGTCATTTTTCCGAGTTTCCCCGTCAGGGGTGCCAAGAACGGTGTATACATCAAAATTATGTTCTATCACCGAAGACTTTCACTGTGTGCGACAAGAAACAACACGGCCGGGTTCGAAGTACGGTGGAAAAACCAATGATGGAGTCTTCGAAACGTGTCACGAGTCTGTTACGTCAACCAGGAAACCCCCTTTAAAACGGACACATGTGCCAGGCTCTCGAAACATTCCTTTACGGGCACCATGCGAAAAACGTTCTTGTTTCCAGGCCGCATGCTCTGGTATGGATTGCGCGGTGATGAGCGGTGGAGACGTTGCCCCTTTGGGCAAAAATGCTGTCACGGAGCTTCATAGTCTCTTCCGTTGGGCTGCCAAGTCGCCCAGGTTTGTTGCACGCAATATTGGCGGCGCCGCGTCAATCAACGTTCGGTCCGATCGCACACCCTCGTTGTCTGACACAGTTCACGGGAGAGCGACTCAAAAATCTTAAACTAGGTCGAAAGACCACCAACAGATTTGAAACCTTCCCCTATTCCATGGGTGGCTTCTTGTTTGCCTGAACGTTTTACGACCTTTCCTTCTGTATTCCTTTGTTTGGGGTGCTCGGCAGAGTACACTGTCTACGGGGCCTCCGGGGGGTACGCGGATGAAATGTGTTGATGGGCATGCTGCATGGCGATGGTGTTGCCTACCGCATGTCTCTCACTCTCTGAGCAACAAGGTCTTGTGTCAACCTTCTTTCTCTTTCGGCCTCTGACGAGCTACCGCACCCAAACATTCCTCAAGTCCCAAGCGGTGTGTTTCATCCCTGTATGCAGCAGGGCAGAGTGGGCCCATTCAAACTTTGACTGCGGCAAGTATTCTAGCTCCGTTCTCAACCATTCGACGTGTGCCCCTACAGAAAATGCCAGTTCGAAAGGAACACGCAACGATGTGGTTCGAGGTTCAGATGTAGGAGCAAATCCTAGAATGAGTATACGACTCTCTTTACAACCTGTTGCACATCCACAGCCGCTGACTTGGCGAGGAGTGGTTCGTCCGAATAGATATATATATTGTTCAAGGTATTATTTAAACCTAACAGTAGCTTAACAGGGATAGGGTTAGAATCGATCAGAGGTATGCTATCGATGAGCTACGTCACTCCTGGTATTGTCACGATTTGTTGAGAGCATCAGGGAAGGATGTACGCATTGTTGTTGCCCATGCCAACGCTGTGGCGCACAATGCTGCAAACGTCAAATTTCGTTATTTCAAGGGGACTCCTACTGTTCATCGACGAGGCTGAAGCTTTTTTGGGCAAGAGATCCAGACCTGACATGTCCGAGGGCACGAGGAACGCCCTTAACGCCCTGTTGTACAACACGGGTTCGGCTAGTCGCCGGCTAATGATGGTCTTAGCTACCAACAGGGCAGAGGTGGGTAAATACCAGCTGGTAAATACAGCCTGTAGAAGGTGCAGGGAAAATGTGATGGTGTCACCGGAAACAAGACAATACCTTCCGTTACCCGAAACTGTACATCTCATGGTCGCGTCGTGGTGCAGCACTGCGCAGTGATGGAGAACGCTGTATTTGACGTTCGTTTATTTCCGAGTTTGCTATGCCTTGCTAGTTGTCATCTATCCCCAAACTTCGTACACGAGCCGGCAATTCCGAAGCCCAAGCGATCGGGCGTGACAGGGTTTGTGAACGGCCTTGAGCAATTGGCATGCGAAACCAGTACCGCCGCGTGCTGGCGTACATGAAAAAGCTGTCTAGTACACCGCGCCCATCTAATGCAAGAATCGCATGAGTGAATGTGGTCGGCTGTTGTGTGCTCCGATGATGCACTATTGTGAATTAAGGATCTGGACGAGGCTGTTCTGGACCGCATGGACGACTCCCTCCTGTTTCCTATCCCTGACAGGAAGTCTCGAGCACAGCTCCTGGTCCAGGTGCGATGTTGCTTGGTATGTCCTCTCCTCAGATGCTATGTCACACTGTAGGTACTTAATAGGTGGGCACCTACTTTTCATCAGGTTGGACTACAGTACTGTACGTACGCAAACGCATATGTAAAACACAACGTGTGTTCGTGTTTGATTGACTGAGTGGAAAATCAATACTTTGAGCAAAAACGGCGACAGGTCGATAGTAATGCATGACCGGACGGTCCTACTTCTGGTCCGCGTGTTAACGCGTCTGCTTGTTTTCCTATCGCAGTATTTCCACAAGTACTGCGCGACTGGTAAGGATGGCAGATCTATTGGCGCGGGTTGGGGTCTTTCCAGCAAGATCTCTGGGTGGTGGCGCGGGAGCTCGGCCGAAGGACTGACGATCGATGTAGGGGTGGACGAACGCCTTGTTAAGGGACTCGCAGAGGAGGTGCAGGGCTTCAGCGGCAGAGAGGTCGGTGTCCTTGGTTGCCATTAATCCCCGGTGGTTTGTGGCTTAGAGCCAATGGTTGCCTTATTATTAGCTTTCGTCTTCGGTGTGGTTTCTTGGGGGTTCCAAGCACAGTATCGATGATGCCCGATGGTGGACGATTATGTTGGGGTGGAGTTCGTTCTGCGTGTTCATGGTTGGTACACTGAAAGAACGCGCAACGTACCCGTTCACCGTGAATCCACTGCCTGGTGGCCATTGAAGAGGAGCACTCTCCATTCATATTATGCCGACAGAAATGCCGTCTGAGACCCCACGACGGCGTAAAGACCGACCATTCCATGACTGGACACGGCGTTCTTTCCAAAGCCCGCACTTTGCTGCCGGTATCAGGATTCACACAAAACGGCGAGAAGTACAGGTGCTACGAAACAGTTGAGACGACGGTGAAGGGCCCCTTTCCCTTCGTTCTTGTAGCCATTAGGTGAACGGCCCAGCCGTGGCGCAGACCTCGAAGGGGTGGGGCATGCCCTGAGCCTTGAGAGCTTGCCGACAATGAAACCTCTGGAGGTCTCAAATATAAAATCATCCCTCTTTCCCAACAACGTCGTTGCTATCGCGCTACTGCTGTATACCTTCCCTGTGACAGGTGGAGAAGCTTATGCTGGGGGTGCAGAGCTGTGCATACGGATCCGAGGACGGGGTGGTGACGGCCGACATGATCAAGAGGGTCGCGACTCAGAAGGCAAAGGAGCACGGTGCCAAAGTCAAGATGAGGGCGGCAACCGAACATTAGGAAACCAGCCTTGAGAAATCTGCGGACGAGTTGGCAATAGCTGGCCTTCTGGGGTTTCAGCACGGCTCACGGCGAGTCGCTTGTCGTCAAATAGAACAGACAATGTTTTCCTTGGCAACTGATCAGCAGGGGGTTTCAAGGGTAACAAAAGGGGAGTGTATTCCGCCAGGCGAGCATTATTGAACACTTTTCTCCAGCCAGAACGCTGCTACATATGCTTGATGGTGTCGTCGTTTTCGCTTAAAGCCTTGCAAGCCGTGGGTGAAACGGAGTTGGCCATGTAGACCTAGCCCGGAGAACGCACCAAAGAATTCCAACTCTGATGAGCTCAGGTATCATTTCAACATAGAAAGGTAGGCAACAAGCAGGAGCGGTGTACAGGGCACGGATGCTTAAGTGCAGCAAGGGGGTGGCCGATGAAGGGACTTATTTCTCCACAAAGTACTTTGGTCCCTCAGGACGACATCGCTATGGTACCAGGGCCGAGGGGAGTCACTCTGGACTCTTGGTAAAGAACACTTGTAAGAATTTCTCTGCAACAAACGCATTCAATTTTTGGCAAGAGAAGAGTACAGCTGCCTGTCCCTCAAGTGCACTTTCCAGAAACCATTTTCTTACCATTGAATGAGGAGTATACAAACCTCATCAGGGTTAGAACTCGCAACCTGACGAGGAACCCGCACGCTCAACAACACTGACTTCTAGGCGCCACAACACACACCGCAACGAGTAATGAATGCGTAAAGCTGTTATACCTCAGGCACAGACGGGTGTACCAACCGTGCCTCGCCCGTGCCCAAGACTGCGAAGATGTGCACCCGGAAGACAACTTGTTGACATGCATACGGCCGAGATAGACATTAGGGAAACAACTCGATCACCATTAAAGTGCTTGCTGAGCGTATTGCCCATACAACCAAATTTCTCGAGAAAATTCTCAGGGTTGTGGTATCAAAACCTGAGACCGAATCTCGGAGATCTTTACTTCGAAAAACGACCAACTCCCTATAGTACAAAAGAACGGCGAGTTAGCGCTGTTTTGACACTTCGAAACACGTGCACCCGAAAAAACTTCGAACCTAGTTGGCCGGCTCAATCCATGTGCTCATACTACCAGCTGACCAAGACCAGCGCATGTTGGCCGCGAGTGTAACAACTCCGATCCCAATAAGTACTGGAGTATCAGCTGCCAAGCAATAGGAAAATTCTCCTCACGAAAAAAACACGTCTTGCTCCGAACGCACGTCTTTTAGGCAGATGGGGCATGCTGAAACGGGAAAACAGTCCTCGTGGCCGCACAGGACAAAATGCGCACACGGCAGCAGCAACTTCTTCCGGGGTCTTTCCATGCAAACGACGCACAGCACTTGGTCCTCGGCGTTCTCGCGCTTTTTCGTTTCCTTCTTTGCTTTCGATACCACTCTTCGAAGCCTTCTTGCTACATCCTGCTTCACGAAATTCAATTCGCCAAGAGCCTCCTCAAGACCATCTTCCAACTCTTTCTCACGGCGTCTTTTTTTCCAGCATACAGTGTGGACTGCGTTCAAGAGCAGGAGAGGCGAGTCCTCTAGGGGGGGAATGTGTGGCATCTCGTGGCAAGCAATACCGACACAGTCCCGAAGCGTCGCATTGTCCCTCTGAAGAGCACGGTGCTTCTCTTTCATTTCCTCGTATCGCTCCGAGCATGTTTTGAGCTTGGCTGCGGTCGCGATCATGTCTTGACCATGGGTGTACATTTGCTTCGAGATCTTGTCCAAACTGAGTGATCTACGAGGGCAGGGGAGGTTTGGGGGACGACCGTACAAGGTTTTGGGTTTGAGCAGGGAATACGGAAATCGTACTTTTTCCGGATGGCCCGCCTGCATGTTTCTGGGAAGAAAAAACACAGACCATGTAATGTTTCTAACCCACGGCGCCAAAAGGCACACGCTGTGCTTCCTCCGATACCCAGAGTAAATAAAAAAGGCTCAGCTGCGTTTTTTTTGTTTGCCGGTCAACACACCAGACCAAAGACACAAAGAGGGAGGGAGCGCGCGAAAGGGGAAGAGGAAAGACCACGAACCAGAAACAGGGAGAACGAGAGAGAGAAAGAGAGAAAGAGAGAGAGCAGAAGTAGTGGACGACGAGACCGTCGTGGTTGCGCAATAGACTTCTGTTTTGTCGTATCCGTTGAACGCGCACCAGTGGGCTCGGCTTCTTGCGGCCGTCTTGTTTCGTTTCATTTTCTGTCTCTCTGCCTGCGTGCAGGGGTCTCTCTGCCAGCACGTAAAGAGCCTCAGAGAAAAACTCCATGTAACCATTCAAAGTCGAGCCAATGAGAATTTGCCGACATCGGGCACATGGTATTGCGGCACGAGCTGCTCTTTGCCTCCAGCTGTAGGAACTCGTTGACATCCCCGGAATCTATTCAATACTAAGCGCTTCGGACGAGAAAAAGGCACAGGTCATGCACCTCAAGTGGGCGTTTGAACCAAAGAACGGGGCTGGCGAGCATGGCATTGAGTAGCAACCTTTCGCACGCTTGAGCGGACGGCAACAACTGCTGAACCAACTCCACCTGTAGGCAACCACACAAGTGTTCTCGCGGGCGCCTTCCGGTGGTGGTGGGCGGTTTATTGGGGTCGGTGGTCTCCAAGACATTACTCCTTTGGATTATCAGCACGTGCTGCGGTGTCCGTCAGTTACCTCCACAGTTTTGCTCTGGGGTTCATATTGAGGAGTTACGGGGACCTTCACCCATGTGGGCTTCGAAAAGTTAAACTAAAACAACTGATTTTCATTAACGGCCAGGCATCCGGTTGACTGGAATGCCATGGTGGTTCTTAGCTGTTTCTATGTCTTTGCTCAACCCTTGGGAACCCCTGTAAAGAAAGGCGAACTTTCTGACGGTCTGGTTAGGAACTGCAGTTTGGATACTTACGCTGCTTTCCATGCAGAAACAAACTGTTCCTTGATGATACGGCTGAACGATTTCGAGCGTGACTGGGTTCTTTCTGGATCTTCCGCGTTTTTTTTTGTTCTGCCGGGACCGAATAGACCGATGAGTCATGAGACACACACACACGACACCTGCACTTGAACGTTTGCACGTTTGTTTGCGCACCAACAGGTTCCCACATGGGTCAACCGCACGCACCCCATGGTGCCACAAAGGTTTAGTGCCCAACAGCAGCGTAACCCTCACGTGAAGAATGTGATGAGTGACCGATAACTACACTGACTGCTGTACTGCTGTATGTAGGTGCTGTCGGAAACCGGAGGAGAGAGAGAGGAGAGGGCGCCGTATTTCTTTACCCCAAACACGATTACATGGTGATAGTCTACATGGATACAGCAGCAGCAGTAGAGATACATCGCATGCACAGCAGTTCTACCCCGCCGCCGATGCAGCACACTGGCGCAAGGCATGGCACCGCCTCCAATGCCACTTGGTTGGGTGGTAAATCCAGCGGAGACAAGAAGCACACACGCACGCGGTTTGTTTGTTGGATGCATGCATGCGAAACGAAATGAAAAAGCACCAGGCAGCAGCAGCAGCAGCCCGCCGCAGCAGCAGCAGCAAGCACGAGCCGCGCGAGAGATAAACTATGCCTTGTGGTGGCGGTTGGTTGAAGACGGACAAGGAATACACTCGAACACACACGCGCGCAGGAGAACTCGGGGAGAGGCCTCGTAAGCTTGGCCTTCAGTTCTGCAACCACATTCCGAAGGCAAGGAAGAAGGCACACAAGTCAACAGCGAGAGCATGCTTTATCGTACCAGATAAAGACAGGTTTTATCATGCCTCCTATCGTGCCTGTAGTCACGAAAACCCTCTCAAAAACGCGAAGGCACGGGGGCGGGTGTCTCTTTTTGACACTTTGTCACTCCGCCACAGCCTGCCAGCACAACAGCAGCAACAACAGCAGTACAGCAGTACCAACATCACCACCATGGACCCAGAGGACATCGCTCAGTTCTGGGAGGCCAAAGCGGCTGAGTGGGACCCAGTGAATGCTCCCCTAGTTGTGTGGGACGAGCTGGTTCTCATCGCGGACACAACACCCCAGCTCCTGCCCGAGGCGACATCTGCTGCAGCCAGGGCGGTTGGGAAGCGGTTCTGCTGCCACGGGGACAACGAGCCCCAGCCCCTCCCAGACATAAGGGACCTGGCAGCAAGGAGGACCGCAGCTCAGCAGCACCCCGGACTCTGCGGGTACCACCACTCCCGCTGGATCGGGGATGTAGATTTCTCAAAGGCAGCCGAGAGGAGCTCGGGGGGGCAGGTCACAGCGAAGCGTCTGAGGAATCAAGTAAGTATAGTACAATTGATATTTGGCAACCCCACAAATGATGGGCTGCTGACCCAGATCGGTTGTGCACCTGCTGTGCGCGTTGCACCTCGTGTATTATAGGTGTGCTTCACGTTCAGCTTTGTTTGACATGGTGGCTTGTAAGAGTGCTACAACAGCAGTACACTAGGCCCACAAACTTCAACCTGGACTAACGTGCGTGTGTTTTTCGAGCCTGCGGATCAATGCAGCTGCCAGACAGATCATATCACCACACGAAGTAGACAGGAAAGAGGGATGAGAGACCTGAAAGACGCGTTTACAGCAACCCTATCCCTATGAACCTCCGCAATGCTCAGCAAATGCTCTGGAAAGACAAGCGGCGCCCAGCGCGTCGACTCCCCTTTTGAGACAGATATGGTGTTATCTTCCGTATCAGTTAGGTTGGAGACTCTCCCATTTCGTACGAATAGGCTGGCAGCCCGCAGCTTTGTACTCCCCGCATTAGACAGTAGTAGGGGTAACGATGTACTGGGGAGGCCGAGCATAATTTTCTGTCTTGTCCGAAGTTAGGTTTTGTAATCCGAACGGGCGGTTAGTAGTCCGAACGGAGAAAAAGACGCACGCGCCGCCCCATTGCGTGAACGTCTGTCTCTCACAGATACTGCATGCCACGTAACGTTTGTTGGCTCTCCATTTTCCCACGAAAGACTGGAGTGCACGCTCTAA